CTCCCCAGCACACACAAATAATGTGCAAGACAAAAAAAAATGTTCTAGGCACCAGGGCCAGCCAGATGAGAGTTTGCAGGGGTACAGATCTGCCAAGTTTCAGGAGACAGTGAATCTCAGGGTTTTGAAGGGAACTCTGTGTCCTCTGCCCCATCTACAGTCAGCTCCTGTGATCCTAGAGCCGGGGGCTTCAGCCAGCTGTGCAGAAGAGTGGAGTCTACACTTAATTTCTTGGAAGTTTCACGTTTCCCACAACTCAGTCTTTTCCTTTCCAGGTTGGAGTGAGTCTGTGCATCTGTGTGCACATTGTCACGTGGGCTGGCTCAGATAGCTGACCTTCCAGCTGACCTGAGGTGGCTACCACCTGCCAGGTCTCAACAGGTAGTCCCCTAACCCCACTGGGTTAACAAGCAGCCACATCTGGCCCAGTCTGTTTGGTTCTTGGCATGATAACTGCTTCCTCTCACCACTGGTTTCCATAGTGGTAGTCAAAACCCAGATCCTGGCAGATGGGCCCTTCTCAACCTGAAGGAGTTGAAGGGCCATCTACATCCAAAGGTTGAACCCAATTCAATCTTGTGCCTGAATTAAGCAGGCACATGCACTGAGTCTGAGAGAAACGGGACGGCAAGAAATGAGGTAACTACCCACCCACCCAGCAAGCTGGGGTCTGATCCTCCCAGGATCCTGCAATGACATGTACTTCTGCATTCCAAGTAGGTGGCCAAGCAGTGTCCATAATGAGCCTGCTTGACTTAACACAGATTCTTATCTCAGCATGCACCCAGCCCTAGTGTGTGCAGGCTGGAATCCACCCGGTAGGACCCCCCGTAGTTGAAGCTTGCCCATGAAGCCCTGTATTTGGTTATCATTTTAGCTGAACTTAAATGCAAATTACAACTCTGCCTTTACAAAAGGGTATGTAATTCAAGGTAGTCACAAATGCTGGTTGCCTTTATTGAAAGGCTCTTGTTTTAGCTGATTTCAGTGAGCCTGCAATAAAACTTCCTCTACTTAATGGTGTGTAGTCTCAAGACATTCATGGATTCCAACAAATGGCTTCTCCTCTCAGCTGCCATGCCTCCCCCTGCCCATGGTCACCACCACACTCCTGAAATGAAGGATGCACCCTTGCTTATTGATACTTCTAGCTAGGACTTTGTGGGGATTGGCTGGGATGAGAAGTAGGAAACATCCTACATCATCTTCCAAATCTGCGTTAATAGTACTATTAAGCTGCAGATGCATGGGGAAGAAGGGTTAAGGTTGAAACAGGCTGTGAGTTCTGGTTTCAGCTGTTTGGGCTCATCTTAAAGTATGGGAAGAAGTCCTTAGCTGGAGGGACAGTATTGAGGAAGAAAGGGGGTGGCGGGTGGGCCCAGAGCTGTGGCTTTAACCACCATGAGTTCTGGACTGGCCACTGTGATAAGAAGGGCCTTCAGGCTCCTATTGCTATGGTTTCCTGAAAAAAAGCTCATCTGCTGTGTGAGGGAGATCAAGATTAACAAGAACCAAGTGGTTTTGCAGCCTGGGAATGAAAGCCTCAAAAGTTTCACCACTGCAGGGGCAGGCAGGTTTCTTGTTCCCTGGTTTTAGGTTCCCCTTCCCTTAGGTCAGGCACTTCCCAGAACACTGGGGCTGATACCCATGGGGTAGCGATGGGCTCAGGCCCTCATCCCAAAAGAAAGGAAACAAGGCTCTCCTGTCGTGGTTTCTGCCCAGCCCACGCAACTGGAGCTAGGGAGACTTTATTCATTTCAGGGGAAAGTGACAATAGGAATGAGACAAAGTGTGAAAGTGAAGGGGGGCAATACTGATGTGAGAACAGCACAGTCTAGTACAACACCACAGCCAGCACAAAGCCTAAGAACAGGGATGGCCCATCATCACCAGACCCCAGCAGCCAGGCATACCCAGGTTTCTTCTCTTGTCATACTTGAAGAAGGGAATCTTGGGACTCCAGAGCACCAAGATGGAACAACAGGGTCAACACTGATGGACTTGCAGCTAGCACCACAGCACCCCTGCCTGGCCTGGGGAAGTTGGAAGGAGAGACACTAGCTGCGGGCCAAGTTCCCTGCCTCCCACTCCTCAGAGGACTGTTTATTTCCTTTTACACCACTAACACTGGCTCAACACATGTCCCTGTACCTGAGCATGGCCAGGCACACAGGGTGAACCAATTCAGAAACTAGGCAGACAGGAGAACCAGGTGCACGCGTACACACACACAGACCTCTGTGTGTTCTGTGGCCACAATGCAACAGACTCCCAGAGCCAGGAAGTCAAGGCCAAGCTGGAAGGGATGGGGGCATGAGACGACAGAAAGGGCTAGAAATCAGATGTGGTCCCTTTTTGGCTCTTTCTGCTCCTCAAAACTCCTGGCCCCAGGCTTTATCATCACATCCCAGGGCCAGAGGGCTGCTGCTTATCCTGACATGGCTGGGTCCAAGCCAGGATGGGCTGGCGGGCATGGAGGATGAGAACACGAGAAGGCGGGCAAGGCCATGGGGGAAGGTCTGGCAGTTAAGTGTACAACTCCTAACTATTCCTGGCACTGAGCACAAGTAGCCAGGCTTTGGGGAGACCCTACAATCACCCCCAGCCTGGCTCACTTCCCCATGTAGCTTTCTGTGACCTCACCTTGACCCCTCCTCAGCCAGCAGTCCCCATGCCAGGGGCAAAGGAGCTAGAAGGCAGTCCTGCGCTGGGGGAGCTGGAGTCCCATCAGCCAGGCCCCTGTCCCTGACAGGATGTGAGATGAGGTGATACCATGGATGGTGACTAAGGCCCCAAAGTCCCTGCCTCCCTAGAAACCTCACGACCAGTCCAGCCCCAGGGAGCAGAGCCTGTGTAAACACACCCAGGAGGAAAGGAGGGCTTGCTACATATGAGAAATAGTTAAAAATAAATTAAAAAGCACCACTATGTCCTGTGGTGTCACCACAGGCCCCAGGGCTCAGCTCAGGAAGGGTGAGTGCTCGGGGTTATCTGCTGGGGATCAGCCTTCTTCCTTGCAGACAGCAAGCAGGGTTGGGGCTACACTCTGCTCTAAGGAAGGAGCCTGTGGGTCAGATCCTCCTTCTAGAATTCCCGAACCAGGAGCAGCTCCCTCTTCCTCTTCCCCTGTCATTCCTAGAAGACACTCCCAGAGGCAGCTGAGGCCACTCCTAGGCTACTGAGTGGCCACATCCAGACCCAGAAGGGATCCTGTTTCAGCCTCACACCTCCCTTGTCTCCTTACACCCTTCCTTTTTCTTGCTGGAAGGCACCACCACCTTGGAGAGCTGTATAACCCCTTCCCCTCTGGTGACCCAGTAACTGTGAAGGGTGTGGGTTCTGGTTGTCTACAGAGACAACTGTCAAAGACTTAGGGAGGAGCCAAAGCACCTCTCTTCCTCCTCAGCTGCAAGGCCCCTGGCCTAGCCTGGCTCTGAGAAACTTAGAGTTTCTGTACATCCCGAAGCATCTCAGTACTTCTCCCTAGCACAGATCCCACTATTTTACACACTGCAGAACGGCATTCTCTTTCAACTGTACTGGGTTTTTCTAACTTATCACCAACATTTAAAACATCAGATTTCACTTAAAAATACCAAATTCTGACCTCTGAAGTATCAAGACTCTCTGGCTGATAGAGCTGGCGTTGTGAGGTGAGGGTGTGCCCTCTAGTCAGTCACAGTCCCCTCCCAGACCTATGGTCCTTTTCATCACCCACTGGCCCTGTGGATATCTGCATTCACAAGCCTCCTTCTGCTCTTCCCTTATGCCGACCCCCAGCCCCTCTGCAGCCTTATTGAGAGCTGCTCCGGCCAACTCAGCCTCTCTGTCGTCAAAACCTTAATGGGCATCTCATCCATTTACCTTTCCATAACCTGAATCTTTCCTCCAGCTTCCTGACAATCAGCCAACTAGTCCTTGCTGTAGGGAACTCCCTACCCGTCAAAGTAGCCTGACTCTAAACTTTCTCCCACATCCGGTTCTCGGGCTCTGTCTCTTCTCAGCAGTCATGCTGTAGCTTTGCCCTACACCTCCCAGCTCTGCCGGCCTCTCTTCATATCCTCTCACATTCCCACCAGGTCTCTGTATGTGATGGCAGACTGTGGGGGACCCCAGCTGCTTAGGTTTTGAAGAACTGCCACGAAAGTAGACAGCCCTGACCATCACTGCAACTTTCAAGCTAACATGCATGGTTTAAGGAGAGGTGGGCCTGGGGCACACACATCCTGGTCTGGTCTCTGGTCTTGATTTCCCTAGCAGAACCCACTCCTGGCACTGCCCAGGGAAGAACCCATGCCCGAGTACTCCAGCTCATCACCCCATCCCAGCCATGGCTCCGGGGCCAGCATCCAGGCCTGTGCAATGCCCGGTCATGGCAACCCCAGTGCAACTCTGGGTCCTCTACAAAGCCCACACACTCCATAGGGAGCTCCTTGTACTCCAGCAATGGGTAGAGCTGGGACTGGGCAAGCAGACCCGCCGGGGGCCTGAGAACTCTGAGGCCAGTAGTGCTCCCCGGGGCTGTCCTATAACCTATCCCCAGTGGGGGGCTGGACCAGCAGGCAGCATCGGCCCATGCAGCACTGCCCGTGGGGGCCACAGGGTCTGGCACCTTTCCTGGGCCATGGGTTCCTGCTCTGGGGGCAGACAGGGCCTACGTCACGCCCTAATTTATGGGCTACGCAGACCTTTCTCAGGATGATTCTTACCCTGCTTCCCTTTCCCTGGGTTAAGATTCTGCCAGGGCAGGACGAACTGGAGCAACATCTCCACTCCTCTATCCTTCCCACAGGCTTGGTAAGGCTGGAAAATTTCCCACAGAGATGATGCCATGGGCAGGAGCACCAGAAGAGCTGGCAGCCCCTCCTCATCCAGTCCCATAGCACACTGATCTCCTACACACTGGCCTTCTGGCTGTCAGGAGATTCATTTGTTTTACATTTTCCCCAAATACCTTAATCTTCAGTTGTAGAGTTAAAACTCCAAACAAAACACTAACAGCCTCTTGGCCCAAAGTTAGGGGGCTCAGCTCAGCAGGATGGGGAGCAGCTTTGGGGGCTGAGCTGGAACCCACTCTTCCTGCATCCTCTCGCCCTGCCCCATCAGCAAACCCTCTGCCCCGGGAACAAGGCTTTTTCCAGCAGGTGGACATTGGCCCCCAAGGGTGGGTGCGGTCTGGGTTGCTGGCACCCGCCTCACACCCGGATCTGGTATCCGTTGAGGTCTGGCATGGCTTTGGGCTCTGAAGGCTTCTTCTCACCCGAAGGCCTGCAGGGAGAAAGAGAACAGAGCAGGGGGAAGAGTGAGTGGTCCTCAGAGAAATGGGGGAGGGAGCAGGCAGCAGCTGCCCCCCATCCCTTAGCTTCTCCTCCATTCTCCTAGGGGCTTTGCACTACAGCAGTAGAGAGTGCATGTGACAGCGTGTTTCTGGCCTGCCAGGGCTCTCCTGGAGTTAGCTCATTTGGCTGCTGTTGATGGGTAATAGCTTAAAGCATAAATCTTTCCAAGGGTAATCTCCCTACCAAAGCCACCTAGATCAAAGTCAATGATGGGTAGATATTTTGGTGCCAGAGGCCTGCCTGGTACCCCTAATTCATACCAGAGAGGTGGCTCCTAAGTGACAATTATTTTTAAAGCAAGAGCCAGACTGATAAGTAGGGGATGAAATCAGAGGAGGCAGCCTGGTATTTTAATAACTTCTTTTTGGCATCTAGATACAGATAAAAACCACAGACTCTTCAGAGTAAAACTCATGTTCAAAGCCATCTATCTACCCAGCCACCATAATCAGACCTCCCCCACAACATTCCTGGGGGAACTCACTGCCTCCTGGAAGCCCCCTCCCTCCTATACGACCCATGCTGCCCTCTGCTTCAGACCTGCCGTGTGGACCCTACTGGCCTGTGGTGGGGGGTTTTCTCTAAGAAATGGGACACCTTTGCTGTGGGAGATGTCGATGCATAAACTCATGAACCTGCCATCCCAAACTGCCTCCCTTGGGTGGAAGCAAAGAGAGAAGGGTGGGAGGGAGAAGAGAAGAGAACAAAAAAAGGAGACCCAGAAGATGAGAAGAAAGGAAAAAGACTTCTTTGCACCCACCAAGCACAATCCCATCTCTCACCGTCTTTCACTGCGACTGTTCCTGCGGTGGGGGCTGGATTGGCCCCGCTGTGGGGATGAAACATCCTTCTTCCGGTCCTTGGTGGGAGAGGGCGGACCAGTCCCTTTGCCAATCTAGGTAGAGAGGAGGCAGCCAGAGCATCACTCCGGGGCTGCCCCAGAAGAGCCACATGTCCCCAGAGGCTGCCCTGGGCAGGGTCTAGGAAGTCTCAAGTGAGGCTCTGCCCTGTCTCTGGGGTTTTACCAAACCTATGTCCCAGGCACTAAAGCTGCCACAGCAGGGGTTCCTCAGCAGGGCCACCCAATCTCCACAGGTCCTGAAGGGAGTGGAGGAGTCACTGAGTAGGAATAGTGAAGACCCCTCAAGAAAAGGCCCATTTGCCCACACCAGGTAAATGTGTGGGAAAGTGACCCATGATGAGCTTTGGGCTGGGATCCCATCAACCCCCAAGGGGACACTGGTTATCTCCAGCCAATCAGAAGTCAGACTGGAAGCTCTAGCTCTGATTATGAAAAAAAATGAGAAAAATCCTTTATGAGGCGAAGTCAGTTTGATCTGAGTTTTCAAAATATGGGAACATCACAGGAGTACTGGAGGGGGGTAAATAACATGAGGAGTCCTTAGTGCTGAATAGCTGGGAATTACACCTCTAAAAGACAAGGTAACTATTAGCTGTAACTCTAGATCCAACTGACTGCCGTGAAGACACAATAATCTGAGCAGCACAAGTCAGGGTGCAAGGTGGCCCAGAGCTAGGCTGGGAAGCAGCTCAGGAGGAGAGAGCAGCCCCTCTCCAATGTGGGGCTGGTGGCAGCATGCTTCTGTTCCAGGGGAAGGCAGAGCAGGGCAGTGCTAGCTCTTCCAAACCCCTGCCCAGATGCTTTTTGGCACCTGAGACAAGCCCAGATACTCCATTGGGAGGCCAATCCCGTTGGATCTGCTTCTCCCTGCCTGACTGCTAGAATCTGGGCTTCCTACTCTGAAAATGAAGCTGCCAACTACTGCCCACTACCGTCTCAGGCTGTCAGGAGAAGCAGTGCATGTGAGAGTGCAGAGATTGGTGGGGGAGGCTGAGGTGCCAGGCTGCCTGGAGGGGCAGAGTGCAAGCCTAGCACTGACTGAGTGACAGGGAGGGAATACCCAGGGGGTCCTGGCTCTCTCCCCAGGGGAGCACCCCCGGGGAGACCCAGGGAAGAGGTCAGGATTCTGTGTCTCAACAGCCCAGCCCAATTGTTCTGGGTACAACACCCCCTCCCAGCCTCATCTGTAGGGGGTTAAGAGGGAGAACAAACTAGCACCCTCAGGATATTCCCCATGGATTCACTTTTCTTTCTTCTAGCCGCCTCCTAGTTCTCTACTGCAGATGGCCAGGGGGCTGGAGTCAGGGTGGATATAGAGGAGTGGCCCCGGCCAGCAGCCACGCAGCCCCACCATGCCATCCAGATGGGCTATGATTTCCCACCATCAGACTTGACTCCCAAACGCCCCCACCTGCCCTTGTCCACCTGTCCAACGCCTACCACCGCTCAAACAGAGCTCACTCAGCACTCCTATCTCCTCCTCTCTGTGGAGTGGGCCCTCTTCTATCGCTTGAGGGGACCACCTCAACCATTAGGACTTTTGAGCAAGGTTCAGGCCTGAGTAGAAGCGTCCCACTATCATCTCCCTTGCTGCTCACACCACCTCTGCTGCGGGGGTGGAGATGGAGGGCACAGAGAGGTGAGGAGGGACTGGCCCCAATGCAGAAATGCCCTGACCCGACCTTGAGCCGCATGTCGCGGGCGTGGCGCTCGAGCTCCTTGCGGAAGTCATCACGGCCCAGCCTCTCCACGTCCAGCACCGAGTGCTTCCACTCGATCTGCTCCACGCTGTGCGGGTCGTGCGACACGCTCTGGCCTAGCTTCACCTTTTTAAGCACATGCCAGCAGCGGCCATAGGCGGCCTCGAAGTCCAGCACGAGGTCGCTGAGCGTGCGGAAGGCTGGCGGCTTGTACATCAGGTCCTCGCGCCGGCTCATACCCAGCGCGCCATAGCGGCCACCGAAGTTCACCCCCAGCACAATGTGGCGGAAGTAGTTCCCTGAGAAGTAGGTCTTGAAGCTGATGGGGAAGCGTTCCAGGGCGGGCATGCTGTTGGTGAGGTAACTGGCCAGGCCCCGAGTTAAGGAAAGCGCCAGGAGAAGAGCGGAGCCAGCACACAGGACCGGACAGGGACAACGAGACAGGGACGACCCCACGTGCTGGAGACGCAGGTTCCTGGGCCGCCAGCGCTGGGGGCAGATACCCCGGTCCGCTCACTTCCGCATTCCTGCCACCTAGCGTCCAACCTGGTATACTGCAGGCGCTCAGAAAATGGAACCTCTAATAGGCACAAGGTTCCCAGTGACATATGACTCCCGTTAGGATGTCAAGCACGTCTCACATCGTCACAAAATCACATCTAACCCAACGGGTCACTGGCTCCACACTACAGGGCTTTCAGAGCACTACGGTGGAAGTGGCAGGGAGAGGCCCCTTCGGCCATCTCCCACTTCCCTGTCCCCAGCCCCTCCTCCGTGGGTGCACACTCAGCCTTACATAGACTCAGATGAATCATCATTATTTTCCTTCTACCGCACACGTAATTTCCTCAGAGAGGCACACCATTCTGCTCAGCCGCTCTTCTTACACCCCTGGCGCCCAGCGTCAGACCACTTCCCTCAGGGCTTGGTGTCAGGCTGACCTCCCTTTCTAAAGCAAGTCTGCACCACTTACTTGCTTGCTGCACCCACTCAGCATAACCTGCCTCTCACTCATTTCTTGGTTTACTTGCTTCTTTTGTCTCCAAATCAAGGGCCACTGGAAGGTAAACATCGTGAGGTCAGGGACATTATCTGTCAGGTTCCTCGCTACTTCCCCAGGGCTAGGCACAAATGAATGGATAACTCATGGAGCAGATGCCAAGTGCAGAGAAGCTGTACTGTCTTCCATGCACAGGTTCACTGCAGTGTCTTGACATCTATGTGCAACAGACACTACCTTATCCCCCTGGCACAGCAGGATTCCCAGGCTCACAGAAGCTAAGGAATTTACTTGGGGGTCACATAGTGAGTAAATGGCAGTGCCAGGATTGAAGTCCAAGTCAGCCTGCCTTTAAAGTCTGTGCTGTGGATACATGGGGATACCATGCTGTGTTTCCTCCAGCACTTAACTCATTCCACCAATGCCTATGGAGCCCGACTGCTTGTGAGTCATCAGCCCTGCCCTACAGAGGCTGAGTGCAGTGGGGACAAAACATAGGAAAAAATTCAGTACAAGGCCCAGTGTATGTGCTGCGACTTCTGTGGGGACACTGGGGAGAGAGCCCCTCTCTTAGATGACAGTTACTCCTGTTTTCTTTCTGACCACAAGACATCAGGCCTGGAGCAATGCCCAAGTATTCTGGAGGGGGCAGTCCCCCTCCTACACCGTGGGCAGGAGTCCCTATATTCAGTGCATGGTTGTGAAGGAGAAGTGAATGTGGGGAGATGAGGAAGGTACTGGCCATGGCCTGAAGTTCTTGGTGGCCTCATCTGCCTCCTAGCAAAGAAACCCATAAGCAGGGCAACAGTGGTCAGGCTCTTGGAAATGGGCCTGCTCTGTCAGCATGACTGCCACAGTGGAGTAGCTCTCGGGATCCCTGGTGGGAAGAAAGGGAACTTGCAGCCTCTTTTTTTTTTTTTTTTTTTTTTTT